GTGTGTGTGTATATATATATATATATATATATAGGCTTAGGTTGTTGTATTTTAACTAATTATTGTATGGATGTGGGAATGATTGTGAGCCAATCATTTTATTTATTTTAAGAAAGTGATTAATACATATTATTAAATTAAAGATAATTGAAAATTACCATCTAATTTCATTCTAAGGGTATTTTAGTCAATTAACATAAATTTAAAAAAGGAAAATTGTAGATTTTAGGAAATAATTAATTCTCTAAACTTTAAAAATCTGATTTTTTGGATAATACATGTATTAATTCGGACATTCTAAAAGAATGTGTTTATCATGATTAACATCTAATTTCATTCTAAGAGTATTTTACTATAAACATATATTATCAAGATTAATAATTTTTAATGAATACAAATTTTATATGAAAAGAGTTTTAATATCTTAAAATCAGTAATTATATTCATTCTTAACAAATACAACTATGAACATACATAAATGACATACATTCTGAAAGAATACAAGTAATAATGGTTAACAATTACATTTATTCTTAAAGAATAAAACTGAGAATGGTTAAAAATCAAATAGAAACATTGAAATCTAAGTAAAACACTAATACATTCTAATAGAATATTGTTGCTAATCCATTCTAACAGAAAAACATGCTAATCCATTTTGAACGAATATTGTTTTCTTACTTTCCATTCTTCACCAGGCTTCAAACCGACTTCAAATCTTACTATGTATCAACCCTTTTGAAATCACGTCAAGAAATCACGTGGCCAAATAGATTATGGTGATTTCTTTGCTGCCACATCAAGTGATGGGAGAGAGGTCAAGTCTTCAACAAAAATACCGATTTTTTCTAAGATAAGGGTGGCATCGGGGCGGTGATCTGTTTATGTGTAGATAATTTAGATATAACGGTATAACCATTGATAGGAATTTGTATTCACGAAAAAATAGTGACATGTGGTTCATTTGACCACAATAAGAGAAAGTTATAGAATTTGAAAACATCCCTATGATGATGTTAAAATCATGACCACGTTTACTTATTATCAACCCAATAACTCTATTTCAACAAAAATAGAAATTACTCTAAAAGGGAAAACATGAAAAAAAAAAGCAAACCGTTGTGCTCTGTCAGGCTGTAGGAGAAAATGACTCATACCTCTTCCCTTTCGGATCTTTGAAAGTAGCAAGAACTCTAGGTGGGAGAAAGGGTAAGAATGAAAAAAAATGCAATTTAATTAACCATAACTATATCATCTCCTCCCCCATCTGATGCAATTGCTTCAAGTTTCTTCCAAGTCAACTCTCGTTGCTCAAGCATTTTATTAGACATGGCTTCTTTTTCCCCAGAACTGATTACTGCATTCTTCAAAAAGGTCTGAATCCATTTCAATGAACAATTTTCTTACATTTCTAGTTAAGACATTGATAGCAGTGTTCCAGTGACCTCTGATGTTCTTCTCTAAGGGTTCAAAGAGGATAGGTAAAATGATGTCTCGATTCTCTACAATCAAGTCCGCAATATGTTCATTGTTCCACAAGAAAAGCACCCGTTCTGTAACCTACAAGTCATCTTGAAATTAACAAACTTTTTTGGATACCAAGTATTTTAACAATATAAAAGATTATGAGTAATAAGTAATAACAAACCTGGAAATTAGGGCTATTAATGCAGCGTCCGATTTGTCTAAAAAGAGGAATCATGCATTGTTGAAACTCTGTAGGTTGTGTTTCATCAAGAACTTCTTCTAATTCACTAAGAAACAGAATCCCTTTACCACAGTTAGTAACAGGCCAATATTTCAATAACCCTCTAATCACAATATCAACCAATTTATAATCTTTTTCAAAAAATTGAATTATACAGTAAGAAAACTGTTGATGATAGTAATTAATAAATTTGGCTTTATGAAGTGGTATAAGTGCCCTCATAAGGAACAACTTATTCTCTTCTTTCATTGGAACAGCAAACCCATTTCTTATACTTCCAAGAACCATTGATGGGCTAGGGTTACTGCGCCGACAAACTGGAAAGGAGAGCCAAGCGATTGAATACAGACAACTAGGGCTTCATATAATCTCAATCACATATAGTCTTCTCCTTCTCTCTTGATTCGAGCCCTCTTTATGCACGTATATGTGTGTGTATCGGTAACAAAAACAAAAACCAACCTCTTAAATCAGAATTGCAGGTGAACATGTAGATGGCGATAATGGCTTGGTGTTTTTCTGAAGAAAGCGGAGAGATGAAGGGAATCACAAGTGGTGTTCTGTCACAATCCAAACTTTCGATCGTGGTGGTTGTCTTCTACAACTGTGGGTGGGTAGGGTTAATAAAAATGAATTAGGTTTGAATTAAAACCGATCTCCTATTTAAAGGGATGTTATTTAGTTTAAAAATTTACCAAAAATAATTAATAGCTAAGATTACAAAATTACCATTGTCTAGATTTTTGAAATGATTGGCCTAGAGTGATTCCTACATCCACACAATAAATAGTTTAAACACATGAACTTAGCTCTCTCTCTCTCTCTCTCTCTATATATA